CTTCTCCTGCAGCCTTTGTCCCTCCGCTCACCTGCGCTTCCCCTCCCTCTCCCTCTCTCTGCATCCAGAAACGAGAAGCAGAAGGAAGAAGAGGTTCGTGTCCAGCCCCCGCTACGTGGAGACCATGCTGGTAGCCGACCAGTCCATGGCCGAGTTCCACGGCAGCGGGCTGAAGCACTATCTCCTGACGCTGCTCTCCGTGGCGGCCAAGCTGTACAAGCACCCCAGCATCCGCAACTCCATCAGCCTCGTGGTGGTGAAAATCATGGTCATTTACGAGGAGCGGAAGGGACCCGACATCTCCTCCAACGCAGCCCTGACTCTGAGAAACTTCTGCAGCTGGCAGAAGCAGCACAACCCGCCCAGCGACCGGCACGCCGAGCACTACGACACGGCGATCCTCTTCACCAGGCAGGTGAGGGACACGGAGGTCAAATCTATCCCTACGCCCATTGCTCTCCACCCACCGTGGCTCCCCCTTGCCAGGAGCCCTCCGGAAAAGGGTTCGGAGCAGTCCCGTGTCGCCACAGCCTCAGCAAAGTAGGCTGCAAACGAGCTGCTTTTCCTTTCGTCCTCTGCTCGGCTGTTTGTGCCAGCTCAGGTGAAACTCGTGGTATTCTGCCTCGTGTATTTTTAGCTGATTTAGCATGGAAATTACTCGTTTTGTTTCTACGTGTAACCCTTGTGCATGTTCCAAAGACAGATTTTTGCCATCATACCCATTGAAGTGCTGAATATTTATGCTCTTTCCATAAGTGAAGGCAAACTGCCAGGGCTGGATGCTTCTTGCCAAGGTTAAGTCTCTGATCTGATTAATAATGGAACTGCCTCTTTTTTTTTGCTTTTTCCCAGGACCTCTGCGGTGCCAAGACATGTGATACCCTTGGGATGGCTGATGTGGGAACAGTTTGTGATCTAAACCGCAGTTGCTCGATCATCGAAGACGATGGTTTACAGGCCGCCTTTACAACAGCCCACGAGCTAGGTACCTGAAACCTTACAAGGTGGTTTCCCGTGAGGAATTGCAGCCAGCTCAATGCTGTAAAGCGCAGAGCCGCCCGGCCCGCGCCGCCCTGAGCTCGCCCTGCGAGGCACGGGGCGCAGAGGGGAGGAGGCAGAGCTTTGCCGCGTAGGAGGGTTGGACCGTGGAAAGCAAAGCCGGTCTGCGAGAGCTGTGTGTTGACTGATGGCAGGAAAAAAGCATGTGAGAAGCCCGTGGGGGTTGCGAAGATGCGGTGTTATCTGCTTAAAACTTGGCAGTATTCAGATTATTGTTTAAAGACTGGGCTGTGAGCAGCTATAGAGTAGTATTTAAAATAGTGCTGGTAATGCATGGGACAGACTTCCTAAAATCACAGCCTTTCCTTTTTTTTTTGTTGTTTTTTAAGGCCACGTGTTTAACATGCCTCATGACGATGCAAAGCAGTGCGCTGGTATTAACGGAATAAGCCGGGATTTCCACATGATGGCATCTATGCTTTCCAATCTGGATCGCAGTCAGCCCTGGTCTCCGTGTAGTGCCTACATGATTACAACATTCTTGGATAACGGTCATGGTAAGATTATTAAGCTTTCCATTCATGTGGCGTTTCAGCTCGTGTGCTTTACTGCTTCGCTTTTTTTTTTTTTCTGGCTTTCTTTTTCCTTTTTCTTAACGGAGCACTTTCTGCGACAGCGTAGTTAACCGTTTGCCTGCTGCCAGTGAATTTAAAAGACCCTTGGTTTTAGAAAAATGGGGGCACAAATTGGTTCAAAGACTTAGGTTACAAAGCAAATGCAGTTCCCTTTTGAAACTGAACTCACTGACAGCACTGTCTGGGTGTTTTGGTGTTTTTTCTTTTTTTCCATTTTTTCTTCCTTTTCAGGTGAGTGTTTGTTGGACAAGCCCCACAAGCCAATCCAGCTTCCTTCTGACTTGCCTGGCACGCTGTACGATGCCAACAGGCAGTGCCAGTTCACATTCGGAGATGAGTCCAAGCACTGTCCCGATGCAGCCAGTACGTGTACGACGCTGTGGTGTACTGGCACTTCGGGAGGACTGCTCGTGTGCCAAACCAAACACTTCCCCTGGGCAGACGGCACCAGTTGCGGGGAAGGGAAGTGGTGCATGAATGGCAAGTGTGTGAATAAAACCGAGAAGAAGCATTATGATGTAAGTAGTAAAAAAGAAATCAGAATCTGTCTTGGCTTTGGGGGGAGTTGACATTAGAAGGGTTTGAATGAATAGGGGCAGGTAGCTAATAAAACAAACTTGGAGCTTTTTTTTTTTTTTAACAAGTGGCTTGGGTAAAAATGAGCATGATTGTGGGTTTTGTGGTTTGGTTTTGATTTGCTTTTATTGCATTAACTTTTTTGTTCTGCTTTTGCTTGTCATTCCAGACGCCGGTGCATGGGAGCTGGGGCTCCTGGGGGGCGTGGGGAGAGTGTTCCCGGACCTGCGGTGGTGGAGTGCAGTACTCCTTCAGGGAGTGCGACAACCCCGTCCCGAGGAATGGAGGGAAATACTGTGAAGGGAAGCGGGTGCAGTACAGATCCTGTAACATCGAGGACTGCCCGGACAATGATGGTAATCTCTTCCCCATTTTGAGGCGGAGGAAGGGTGTCTTATGGAGGAAGAGCATGTGCAGAAGATGATCTAATGTCTACCTGTCTTTCCTCTGCCTGCAGGCAAAACCTTTAGGGAGGAACAATGTGAAAAGCATAATGAGTTTTCCAAGTCTCCTTTTGGAAGTGGACCTGCAGTGGAGTGGACACCCAAGTTTGCCGGTGTCTCTCCAAAGGACAGATGCAAGCTGGTCTGCCGAGCAAAGGGAACAGGATACTTCTTTGTTTTACAGCCAAAGGTATTTCAAAACCTAACCTCTTCCCTCTAATCATGAAAAGGATATTTGTTTCCCCTAACTCCTTATGTGAAGTTGAGTCAAGCGGTGTAGAAATCCAAAATTATATCTTGCTCATATTTAGGCTATATTCTTCCTTCTCCCTTTCCTATGTGTGCAGCTTGATCAGTGCAAGCATGCTTTAAATACTCTGGCACAGTCCTTCCAGTTATTTCACACGTATCGCCTCTTCTACCCACTCCACCCTAGTTTCCTTTCCTCTCCTTCCACCAATTTGACTGCATTGAAATGTGTTTGGAAAACCTTGGGGGTTCTTTGCCAAAACATCGTTGCTTTTTCATACTGGTTACTGGTACGGTGACAGCTTAAAATAAACAAAGGGAAAAATGTTCATCTTGCCTGGCTACTTGACCTCACTGTCATGAGATGTTGAGAGCCAATAACTAGCAGGGCGATGACACACGTTTTTTGTAGAGCAGTACTCCAAAAAATGAAGGATGCATTCAACACCGTTAAAAGCCTCTTGGGTCCTGTACTCCGAGGACTACCTTCTAGTGACGTTAGAAAACAATGTTCCTTCTTTACATAAAATCAGTAAAACAGTTCTGTGGTTTTTTTTGGGCGGGGTAGGGGACATTAATAAGAAGTGAAATTGGTTGTTTTCTCCTGTCACTATGGCATCGTTTTTGCAAGTGAGATGAAGTAGCAGTGCATCCCTCCAACTGTCTGTGGGCTGCTTTGGTTTTTGATTTCAGAAGCCCTGAAAATATGGGTGCTGTGTCTTCCACCTGTCCATATTCTGCGTTTTGTGTGTGTCTGTATTGCGCAGTTTCAAAGCAACATGCCTCTTGTACTCAAACGCCCTATCGCTTGTTTTCCTGCCAAGGTTGTGGATGGTACCCCGTGTAGCCCCGATTCCACCTCCGTCTGCGTCCAGGGGCAGTGCGTAAAGGCTGGCTGCGACCGTATGATAGGATCCAATAAGAAGTTTGACAAGTGCGGTATCTGCGGTGGCAATGGATCCACGTGCAAGAAAGTGTCTGGCACGTTCGTTAGGGCAAAGTGAGTATATGGCCGCTGCTGTTCTTTGTTCTGGTGAACGTTTGGTGGGGGTAAGCTTTGCGTTTCCAAGTCAGCGCGATGTTGCCCCAGTTTATCGTGGGAACTGAGACTTGATCTGTTGGAACCGTCCGACGGAGCTGACTTACGGTGAGAGCCCAGCGAAAGAAAGCCCCTTACACGTGGGCACGCCTCTGCCATAGCAGTAACATGGGATGTGACTTTGCAAATCCCTTAATCCATTAATTTGATTATGTTGGCAGCTCATGAGCTTAACATTTCAGCTTCAAATGATTTTCCATCTCGTGCCGGGCAGCTTCATCCCTTTGCGGAGGACTCAATTTTTCTCTTTTCTCTTGGGCAGACCTGGCTACCATGACGTCGTCACCATTCCAGCCGGGGCAACAAACATCGAGGTGAAGCAGCGAAACCACAGGGGTGCGAGACACGATGGCAGCTTCCTCGCCATCAAAGCTGCAGATGGCACCTACGTCCTCAACGGTGACTACACCCTGTCGACCTTGGAGCAGGACATCACCTACAAGGGTAGTGTGCTGAGGTACAGCGGCTCCTCCGCCGCGCTGGAGAGGATCCGCAGTTTCAGCCCTCTGAAGGAGCCTCTGACC